CCAGACCTCAGGACCCCACCCTGCTCTCAGGCTGCTGTCAGCATAGGCCCCGTGCAGTCTCCATTCCCCAGAACATCAAATGAAAAGTGCCTTTTGTCACACACCCTAAACCAGGAACCACACTGCCAAGACTTTTTTAAAATTTCATTGATCAGAAAACTATGCGGAGGAAGGACAGGTCAACTCATTGCTGGGGCAGTCTCAGCAGGAAGTTTCAGCCGTGCAGGCGTAAAGATAAAGAATGATGAAAATGAGTTTAAAAAAAAAGTTTTGTCTCAAAACTGGAAGAGAAGGCAATTACCTTCTTATAGTAATGAAAATGCAAGACATCACCTTTTCTGCTCATTCATTCATCAGACATGTATCAACTTAGCAGGGGTCTGGGTCAGGTCCTGCTACCCAACAGGCCAGGCTGACTCTCAAACTCTGAAACCCCTGCCTTCTTGCCAGATCCATGTCAGTGTAAATGGAAAATCACAGGCAGCTTTGACCTCTGCATGGGCACTCCCGGAAGTCACGGAATTGAACATCCCAGGAGGCGGGATGGGGGTGGGCGGGCGGGAATGGGGGTGTGGAGGGGTGGGTAAGAACGGTTTTCTTTTCCTCTCAGTGGATGAAGGTTGAAGCGAGATGGGAGCTGTGTGGGTGTGTGGGTGGCAGGGAGGGGAGAGGAGAAAGGGCAGAAGGAAGGGAATTCTTGCTAGTTTCTATGCATAGCTTCATATCTATAAAGAATTGGACTGTTTTGTGTAAACATTTTTCACTGGGCTTTTTCTCAATTTTACGTCTCCTCAGGCTTTTAACATTACTTTTTTTTTCATATCTAGGCTGCATTATGGTTGTTAACATTTCCCCCAAAATTGCTGTGCTCTCCTAATGCTGTATTAAAGGACGTCATTGCCTTAAAATATGAGGCACCAAAGAAAGATAAAAGCTGTAAGTAAAAATATAATGATAAACCACTTAATTTGAGTAATAGAAAATTTTTATTTGTACTTTAAGATAGCCTCATGCTAAAGTCACTCTATCTTATAAAATAGAGACACTTGGATGTCTCCAGTTCTGCTAGATTCTGAGTCAATGACATTTGAACAACGTCTATGAAGTGGGAGCCGACTGATCACCAGCAGAGCAGAGAGGCAGAGCCACTCTAAGACAAACCCCCCCCAAAAGGGAAAAGTTTATCACCAAAAGGCTAAAATAAGTGTTCAGTGCTCTGTTGACAGATAATTTAAAACAAAATAAAACAAGACATTAGGAGAAGTTTAAAAAAAAAATGAACACATTATTTGAAGTGCTTATTGCATGGTCAGTAGCTCAGTCAAGAGTTGCTCAACAAGAATTGTCTGACTCTTTGTGATCTCATGGACTGTAGCCCCCCAGGCTCCTCTGTCCATAGGATTTCCCAGGCAAGAATACTGGAGTGAACTGCCATTTCCTTCTCTGGGGAATCTTCCTGACCCAGGGATCGAACCCAAGTCTCTTGCATCTCCTGCCTTGGCAGGTGGATTCTTTACCACTGAGCCACCTGGGAAGCCTGAAATGCTTATTACAGCAGTAATACTATAGTGATATAGTTGTATATTATTGTATTATTTGTATATTATATATTATTTAGAGATAGAGTTGTATATTTTTATTGTATTATACTTAAACATCATCAAGTTATAACCAGGATAAAAATTAGGAGACTTGAACTGTCAGAAAATTGCATAAAGACCTTGAAATAGTAAGACATTTAGAACTGCCCCCATTTCTATGGCAGTCACAGCTACGGAAATGCAATGCATTCCTTGTCAACACAGGAAGTTTGTTACAAAGACATCATTCAAAACAGAAGTTAAACTCTGGAAACTCCTTTTCAAATGAAATGGAAAAAAAAAAGAAAGTGTTTACATCTCCAGACTTTAAAGTATTTTATGCGCAAATTAGGTAAGTCACTGCCAAAAAAAAAAAAAAAATCCAATTCACTTCTGCTGTGGGACACTTGATGAGCCCTTGAGAATTCCACATCACAACAGCTTGATCTTCTCTCTTACAAAAGGTACCCTCAGGCTGTACAAAGGTACACATGAATTTAATGCCTTTTCCATGCAGGCTTTCGAAATGCTCACCTTGAATAGGTGGCAAAAGTTCTCCTAGGCAGGTAAGGTCTTAAGATGAGTCAACTATTGACTAGAGGTTTGGGGAGAACTTCTCAATACTTGACTTCATGTGTGAAACAGAAGTCAGTCTGGCTGTTATTGTTATTATTCATCTATTCCTTCAACAAGTATTCATTGCGCAGTGACTATGAGGATACAAAGCTGAACCAGGTGGAGATTCACCCTCAGGGTGCTCACTTCTGACTGATGCGATGTTGGGAATGTGAAGAGCCACCATACAAGCCACAAGTCCATGAGGAAAGCACACATTACACTCTGGTATTATCCACGTTCCCAGGAGTGATACAATACTTGCTGAAGAGTGAGGTGAGCATAAGGGAGATGGTGAGAGCCAGCAATCAGAAAAGACTGTAGAAGTAGAAGCGTCTTGTCTGAGTTTTGATAAGTGGGTGGGTTTGAGCCATTTTGAGGCTGATTAGAACTCACTCAGCACGGAGAAGTTATCCCAGGCCCAGAAGACTGCACAGAAGTGAGCTGGAATACACGATCCCAGAGAAAGAAGGTATCCAGCAGAATCCATCCTGCCCTTCTTACAGGCTAACTTGTATCCCCTAACATTTATTTGTTGAAGTCTGAAGCCCCAGGACCTCAGAATGTTAAGTGCACTTGGAGAGAGGGCCCTTAAAGAGGCAATTAAGTTAAAGTGAGGTCATTAGGGTAATTCTTCATCCAATGGTGTTCTTTCAAGAAGAGACTAGGACACAGACAGGTACAGAGGGAAGACCATCTAAAGACACATGAAGGGGCCTTCCCTGGTGGTCCAGTGGCTAAGACTCCCAGTGTAAGAGGTCTCGGTTTTATCCCTGGTCAGGGAACTAGAACCCACATGCTGCAAGTTAAGATTCCGCATTCCACAGTGAAGATCTTCAGAGTCCCTTGGACAGTAGGAGATCAAATCAGCCAGTCCTAAAGGAATGCAACCCTAATATTCATTGGAAGGACTGATGGTGAAGCTGAAGCTCCAATAATTTGGCCACCTGATGCGAAGAGCCGACTCCTTGGAAAAGACTCTGATGCTGGGAAAGATTGAAGGCAGAAGAGAGGGACAGAGGATGACATGGTTAGATGGCATCATCAACTCAATGGACATGAGTGTGAGCAAACTCCGGGAGAAAGTGAAGGACAGGGAAGCCTAGCATGCTGCAGTCCATGGGGTCACAAAGAGTCGGGCACACCTGAGCAACTGAACCACAGCAATAAACATGTAAGGAAAATCCTATTATTGGACTTCTCCAGATGAGCAAACTGAAGTACCAGAATTTTTGCCCAAGGCCACATAACTAGTAAGTGATTGAGCTGGGTTTGAGTGTAGGCATTTAGGCTTCAAAATCTGTGTTTTTAATTGTTAACTACATTCAGCTGCCTCTCAGGTTAAACGTGGATGGAGATATTTTCTCTGTCTTCAAGGTATGCCAGAAGCCTTTCCCTCAACAATGCTGGGGCACAGGTGGGCGAGGGTGGTACCTTGGCATTCCAGTAGGTTGACCTGCTGCAGGAAGACAGCCTCCCTCATACCACCCCCCAGACAGACCACCCTCCAGACACACACACTCCAGATACACAGAAATGCTGAAGAAAATGTAACAGAAATATGTTTAGTACATTTAAAGCATGGAAGGAGACAGAGCAATCTCTGGAATGTATAATCCTTGAAGACAGAGACTTTATGCTCTTCGTTTCTGATTCTCTAGGATTTAGAATGGTTGCCTGGCACACTTGATAAATATCTGTTGAATGAAAAAAAATTTAGGGGCTGGAAATGAACAGAAAACTCCAAGCCAGAGTAGTGTGCAGGAGTGAAACTGAAAGGACAAAGGGGGGACTGGGACTTGACACACGCTTTCAGAGTTGGGAGGCAGGGTTTTGATGTTTGTACATCAGATGTTCATAGATCAAACACATGATGTTCACACATATCAAAAGATGAAGCCACTAACCTTTGTAAGGACTCCCTGTATTAGGCCAACTAGTCATCCCAACTGCGAAACAGAGACTAGAATACTCCAACTGGGCAACCAGTCTGGAGAAGCCACAGGAGACTGACCTGTTCTTGCTGTAATTTGTCCACAAAACCCGAGGAAGGTGGACTCCCGTAGGAAACAATACCCACCTCGTGACTTTCTCTGTGGTCCAGTCACTAAGATCACACTCCCAATGCAGGGGACCGGGCTTGATCCCTGGTCAGGAAGCTAGACTGCGCATGCCACAGCTAAAGATCCTGCCTACTACAAACTAAAAAATGTCCTGAATGCCAAAACGAAGATCAAAAACCCTGTGTGCTGCAACTAAGACACTGCGCAGCCAAATAAGTAAATAATTTTAAAAACCAAAAACAATATCCACCACAGAGGAGCTCATGGGTGAAAATTACAAACCACTCAGGAAATAAATGACCCCAGGGAAGAATCACAAAAGAGGTAATTTGCATCTAAGAACTAGAGGCAATAGAAAACTGTGAAAGAATCTTTAAAATAATTATGTTTGAAATGCTGAAAGAGGTAAAGGAAGAAATATTAATACGATCTATAAAGCAGGAACAGGATATGATAGAAAAAAAAGAACAAATGAATTTGGTAAAGAATATATAGAAATCCTATGCATAGAAAGGGCGGAAGGCCAGAGTCTTGCGTTCGGTGTGCGTACGGCTGTTCTCGGCCAGGAGGAGTTGCTTTGTTGGCGTGTAGACCTCCTCTTTTCGCGCAGAGGACTCTGCTTTCGTCGCACCTCCCAGGCTCTTTACGTTGTTGCTTGGGAGCGTCAGCTTTGAGCAAGGGCACTCGGACATTTCAGCGGAAAAGACTAAAGATTAGATTGGAAGAACAGAGAGTAGAAGCCATGTTTCGAAGACCTGTAGTACAGGTGCTTCGTCAGTTTGTAAGACATGAGTCTGAAGTAGCTAGCAGTTTGGTTCTCGAAAGGTCTCTGAATCGCGTGCAGTTGCTTGGTCGAGTAGGTCAGGACCCTATCATGAGACAGGTAGAAGGAAAAAACCCAGTCACAATATTTTCCCTAGCAACAAATGAGATGTGGCGATCAGGGGAAAATGAAACCTACCAAATGGGTGATGTCAGTCAAAAGACAACATGGCATAGAATTTCAGTGTTCCGACCGGGCCTCAGAGATGTCACGTATCAGTATGTGAAAAAGGGTCTCGAATTTTTGTGGAAGGGAAAGTAGACTATGGTGAATATACGGATAAAAATAATGTGAGACGACAAGCAACAACAATTATAGCTGATAATATTATATTTCTGAGTGACCAGATGAAAAAGAAGCCGTAGACTGGACGATTCTTCTCTGGCCGGTGTTTGGTACAGCCTCATTTCCAAATCATGCTAGTGTTTATAGTTCCTAAGGACAAGAATTAAAATACTCTTCATTATAAAAAAAAAAAAAAAAAAGAAATCCTATGCATGGTAATTGGGATTCTCTAGTGGCTCAGATGGTCAAGCATCTGCTCACAGTATGGGAGACCTGGGTTCAACCCCTGCATCGGGAAGATCCCCTGGAGAAGAGAATAGCAACCCATTCCAGTATTCTTGCCTGAGGAATTCCATGGACAGAAGAGCCTGGTGGGCTACAGTCCATGGGGTCTCAAAGAGTTGAACATGATTGAGCAACACACATGCACATACATATGATAATTACTAATTGGAATTTTTTTTTAAAAGCCTTTAATCAGTTGCCTAAAAAGAGAATTAATGAAGTGGAAAATAGATTGGAAGGAATACTTCATAATTCAGACTAGAGATATCCATGACTAAAGAAAACCATGAAAATCACTAAAGAGACCCAGAGACTTAAATGAGAAATACAAATAAGTCAAACTGGAGTTCCAGACAAGAGAGTAAAAAGAACAGAAAATATCATTGTTGAAAAAAAGGATCAAAGTATTTTCCATAACTAGAGATATGTGATGAAGGTCCCTGTATCATGAGCAAAACAAGTAAAAAATAAATCCACATGTAGAACCCTCAGAATAAAATGATAGGGCTACATTAGGGCTACATCCATGAATGATCCCAGGCTGTTGAGAAAACTGCAGTAGGGGAGAGAACAGGTAAGTGGCCTGTCTGTGCCTCATTTCGTGTCTGCTCTTCACAAATTTTCATTCCAGCAGGCAAAGAGGACCCTGCTTTGGTGGGGGAATCAGAGCTCCACCTGTCAGCAGTGGGAGGTGGATAGATTGAGAGGAAGACCGTTCTATTAACATTTTATTACAGTCTCAGAGGCTCTCAAAAATAGCATTTGAAAGGATTGACTCTGAATTAATTTTAGTATATTATTTACAATTCAATTCACATTTAATTTTAATCCTATCAGTTTTTTGATAGATGTCCAAGCATAGTCTTTATCAAAGGTAATTAAAGCATGAATCAATCATTGAACAAGTTTCACTGAGCAGCATCACTTCTGTTTATTCAAAAAAATGTTATTGATTATCTACTAAGAGTAAGATACTTTGTTAGAAATTTTAGAGTTAAGAATTATGAAAGAAAGAAAAGAAAAAAAATAGTGAGCCATGAAGACATACAACAGGACAATGAATAATGGGTTTGAACCGGTTGGGTTAACATGATCCATGCAGAGTTCAGCAAGGCCAAAAGCCCGGGGTAGGTTGGCACTTACCATGTGTGAATAACAGGAAGTAGGTCAGTGTGCCTAGAACATAGTAATTGAGGAGAAGGGCGGTATAAGGTCAGCAAGGGAAGCAGGGATCAGATCACAAGGAGCCGTATAGAGTGGGATAAGGAGACTGGGCTTTATTCTAAACCCAATGTGAACCCACTGGAAGATTTGAAGCAAAAACAGAGCTAATAAATTTTTAAGAAATGATCACTGTGGGTGCTTAGTGGGGAATGGATTGAGGAAGGACAAACAATGAAAGAAGAGAAAGGAGTTAAATTGTTTTCCCACCAACTCAAGAGAGAATTGATGACTAGAGTTAGCAGCAGAGATGGAGAGGGGCAGGCAGATCTGAGACGTAATTCAAGCACAAAGTTTTGTTGATACAATGGATGTGAATGAAGGAAACAGAAAAATCAAGGATAAGGTCAAGACTGTTCCCTGTGCACTGGAAGGGTGGTGGTATAACTTCTTGAAATAGGAAAAAATGGGGAAAACAGGGAAACCAAGCATCCCATAGGGGACATGTTAATTTTGAGATACTTATTAGACCCTCATGAATTTGAGCAAACTCCGGGAGAGAGCAAAGGTCAGGGAAGCCTGGCCTGCTGCAATCCATAGGGTTGCAAAGAGTTGGACACAACTTAGCAACCGAATCACAGATTGATATTGCAGGTAAGAAGTCAGGCAAAGTCTGTGGTTCTGGAGAGAGGTCATAGGAGGGAAGGATATGTAGAGTCGTTGGACTATAGATGCTACCAACAGCCGTGGGCTTCCAAGAAAGAACCATCTGTGCAAAGAAGGAAGAGAAGAAGAGAGAGTCCTGGTACACACTCGCATTTAAGTTCCAGGAGAGGAGGAGGAGCCAGCAAAGGCAACCAGGAAAGAGTGACTTGGGAGGTAGGAGCGGGACCAGGGAGCCTCAGAGAAGCAAAAGGAAAGAGTGATCATCTGTATCAGATATGCAGAAAGTTGCCATGAGCTTATCTTTAGCAACAGAAGCCTTGGAGTCAATTAGAGAACCGAAGTGAGAAAGTGGAAACACGGAGTACCGATAATTATGTCAAGTAATTGTTCTGTGTGAGGAGTGAACAAATGAGATGGTAGCTGCAGGGGACATGGAGTAAGGGGGAGTTGTCTAGAGTGATAGATCAGCAATCGAAAGATGCTGATGAGGCTGGTTGAGGAGGGAGGGAGGAAGTGATGGTGCAGGCTGGAGCCCACAAGTAGATAAGACAGAATAACATCTGCACAGGTGGGGGTGGGGCTCTGCTTGGAGAGGGACCCAAACCCTAGACCTTAATAGGACGGAAGGCAGAAACCGAGCACGGAGGTAGGTAGTTAATGGTGAAGTGTTGAGGAAGTTTCCATCTAATTGTTTCCATCTTCTTTGTGAACTGTGAAACTAAATCATCCGTTGAAAGTGAAGATGCAGGAGGAAGACCGACGATTGGATTTGTGACTGAAGAGATAAAACTGTAGGATATAAATATCTCAACCGAAAACGTGTTAGGGTTTCCAGAAGGTGTCAAGGGCCCACTTGAAATATGGGTCACATATTTAAGGAGACACTTGTCAGCACAGTTGTGCAACTTCTGCAATGTTCAGTTGCACAAGCCTCATTATAATGCAGCAGCTTTGCCCAGTGAGTCAGTGGAGAGAGAATGGAGACGGAGGGGAGGGTGTCCGCAGGAAGTGATTAGAGTTGGACCATGGACCCCAAGCCTGGGCAAGAAGATGAGAAGAGCATTTGGAAAATGGTGGTCACTGGACAACTGGTCCCAATGTGATAGAAACATTTGGAATTGAAGTATTTTTAGTAAACAGGCCAGAGGACAACATCATTCAGAGAATGGAATGCTTAAATTCAGGATTTCAGAGACCATTTTCCCCCAGCCTTGCAGAATAGTTAACAATCTACGGAATGAGATTCCAGAATTAAGAAAGGCTTGTTGTCCTCACCTTACCCAGAAGGTATCCCCTTGTCTAAAATTATGCAATTAGAGAGCCTTTATTCCAATATCAAGGGACTTCCTATTAAAATGCAAGCCCTACGGGAAAGATGATCTGTTCCAAGTCAGGCAGGGATACCTCATCCTCTCCTCTCTCCATAAGTGTTTAGGGAGCAGCTCTCAGCCAAGGGCCCTGGGCAGCCAACCTGCCAATGCCCAGCACTGGGCAGGGAGAGTTACAGAGGGCAAGATGTTTTTTTCTTTTCAGATTCTGACACAGGAAGAAAGTACCCAAAGGTACTGATATTTCAAAACTAAAGCCACTCATTATCAGTCTCAACACCAAACATGTATTTAGCATGTCTGTGAACTGTGAGCTATTCAGCAGATATAACAGGGCTACACAGGGAATAATACTTAACCATGTTCCAGTCACTGGAGAAATTTGGATAGAAGGTTCCGTCTCAGTCCTGCGGTTGTTTACTGTCCTGCAGAGACACTCACAGTCTAACAGAAATAAACAGGTGCAATTACAGAAGGCCTGGACCATTGTGCCACTGGATAGGAACATGACGCAGGCAATAGGGAAACCAGAAGCGCTCACCCAGGAAAATGACACAGTATTAAACAGAGTTTTCGGAAGATAATCAGTGCTAGTATGAGGGATGGACTGCAAGGAGAAGAAAATAGCAAAACAGTTTGTAAGTAGACGTGAATTTCAAAACAGCCCAAGTAAAGAGAAGAGAATGAGCATCTTTTAAGTCTCACTGTGCCACACGCTATATTAGGGGTGATGATCTGGGCTCTGTTGCTAGGGCTGCCAGCCTCCTGGGCCACTGTGCTTGCCCTGACACCACGCGCCTTCAGATCCAGAACCACAGGAGTAGAGAAGGACTGGGGAAGAGGGCCCAGAAGTGAGGACGCTCCCTAAGATGAGAATCGGAGAGTAATTGAGTGACATGGGCAAAGAGGGTGGGGTATTGATCTGAGACGTGCAAGACAGATGACCTGGACTTTGGGAAGAAATACGGCATTTGATTTTTGGGTGTGCTGAAGTAGAAGAACCACTTATACCCCAGAGTGGAAACTGAGGGCTCCGAGGGTGGAGTGTGATGGGAGCTGAGCTGACTACAAAGTCTGTGGGCCCAGGATTTCCCTGGCTGTCCAGTGGTTAAAATTGGTCCGGGAACTAAGATCCCATATGCCTGGCAGCCAAAAAAAAACCAAAAACAAAAACAGTGGAGCCCAGCGGGCTGGCAAATTCCTTGAGGGCAGAAACTACCTCTGCTGCCTCATGGCATCTTCCAACGCCAGGCCCAAAGGAGTTCTAAATGAATTTTCTTTATAAATTTCATTATAATGAATGAATGGAATATAAGGCAATAGGCATGTCTTGAT